ACCTCGTGATCCGCCCGTCTTGGCCTCCCAAAGTGCTGGGATTACATGCTTGAGCCCTATTATTTTTTTTTGAGACGGTTTCACTCTTGTTGCCCAGGCTGGAGTGCAATCGCGCAATCTCGGCTCACTGCAACCTCCGCCCCCTGGGTTCAAGCTATTCTCCTGCCTCAGCCTCCTGAATAGTTGGGATTACAGGCATGTGCCACCATGCCCGGCTAATTTTGTGTTTTTAGTAGAGATGGGGTTTCTCCATGTTGGTCAGGCTGGTTTTGAACTCCCGACTTCAGGTGATCTGCCCACCTTGGCCTCCCAAAGTGCTGGGATTACAGGTGTGAGCCACCACACCCGGCCTAAGTTTGTACTTTTAGCCACCAGGTCACAAAGCTCCTGAGCCCATGGGAGGACTGGAGAATCCTCTCCCCTGTATTTCCGTGGCTTTGATGAGTTGACCCTCTGATCAACTCAATGCACGAACATCAGAGAAGTAGGGATAAGTCAGCTCGTCCTGCCCTCAGGTTGCTGTCAGGCTTGTTGGGAAGGCACACAGGCCACAGGCAGCTCAAGGAGGACACGGTGCTGTGTCCCGGGGCATGCTGGTGCTGTAGGCCGGCCAGGTCAAGAAGGAAGTGGGGACCCAGTTAGAAAGATTCTTCAGTTTCATGGGGAAGCTCAGGGTTCTCAGGAGGCTGGGAGATGGTGGCTGGGAAGGGATGGGAGCGCTATGTGCTGAAAGGCATTTCACAGATGACAAAACAGAACCACCAGGTCCTGCCGGGGCTCCAGCTGCTCCTCTCTATGAAAATCCTTGGCTTGGCACGGCCGGGCGCGGTGGCTCACGCCTGTAATCCCAGCACTTTGGGAGGCCAAGATGGGCGGATCATGAGGTCAGGAGATCGACACCAGCCTGGCTAACACGGTGAAACCCCATCTCCACTAAAAATACAAAAAATTAGCCAGGTATGGTGGCGGGTGCCTGTAATCCCAGCTACTAGGGAAGCTGAGATAGGAAAATGGTGTGAACCCAGGAGGTGGAGGTTGCAGTGAGCTGAGATCTCTCGCCACCGCACTCCAGCCTGGGTGACAGAGCCAGACTCCATCTCAAAAAAAAAAAAAAAAAAAGAAAGAAAGAAAAAGAAAATCCTTGGCATGGCACTCAAGGCTGGTTTCCCTTCCTTCCACTCTGGATTTGACTCATTGGTGCTGAGCTGGCTGCAGGGCCTGTGAAGATATATCCCTGCCTTTGCACGTGCTCTCCCCTTCCCTCTTCAGCCACCAAACGGCTGTTCATTGTTCAAGTCTTAGGTCAGACGCCCTGTCCTGAGACGCCTTCCCTGAACAGTCACTCCTAGCGATGGTTCCCTTCTGGGCTTGGCAGTTTTGCTTCCATATGTCCATGCAACATCCATCTAATGGGGCTGTAATTTCCCCAAAAGCTCCACAGAAGCAGGATCTCTGCCTGCTTTATCTCTGTAACTCTGGCTGTGGCCCAGGGCCTGACAGAAAGGAGGGGGCAGCTCAGTGGATGCATGCAAGATGGAGGACAGAGGGGTTAGTGGGTGGATAACGGATGAATGGAGGGTGAATGTGGGAATGGGTGATGGATCAATGATGCATGTTGAATGAATGATAAATAGACGCCTGTTGGATGTGTGTGTTTCCATCCACAGAGTCTTTTCAGAGTATTTCACATTAGATTAGAGATTTCACATATAAATACATATCTCCAGCCAGGCGCAGTGGCTCAAGCCTGTAATCCCAGCACTTTGGGAGGCTGAGACAGGCGGGTCATGAGGTCAGGAGATCGAGACCATCCTGGCTAACACGGTGAAACCTCGTCTCTACTAAAAAAGAAATACAAAAAAACTAGCCAGGCGAGGTGGCGGGCGCATGTAGTCCCAGCTACTCGGGAGGCTGAGGCAGGAGAATGGCGTAAACCCAGGAGGCAGAGCTTGCAGTGAGCTGAGATCTGGCCACTGCACTCCAGCCTGGGCAACAGAGCGAGACTCCATCTCAAAAAAAAAAAAAAAACAAAACCCCAAACCCAAAAAACATATCTCCAGTGTTTCTTGAAATATCAAAAGATGTGGAAACTCTGGGCCCGTCTTCCCATGGCAACAGCTGTCTGGATGGGTGATGATGGATAGATAGCTGGGTGATGATTATATGGTGGTGGTGGATATATGATGGATGTTGCTTAGGTAATGGATGGATGAATGCTGGGTGGAATATGGATGGATGTGGCATGGATGGATGAATGTCACATGATAGATGGTGGACAGATGATGGAGATACGGATAGATGGATGATGGATGGAGAGAGGGATATATAGGTATTGGGTAAATGGATACATGATGGATCAATGGAGAGTAGATACATGAATGGGTGATAGACAATGGATGCTGGATACATGAGAGGGTGAGTCATGTGGGATAGACACTGGATGGTTAGATGGATACATGGATCTACTGATGCTGGACGTTAGATGGGTGTTGCATGGACAGATGATAGAATGGATGGATGAGGTGGACAGATGCATGCACCCTGGAGAATAAGTTAGGCTAAGCTGTGTTCTTTTTTTAATCTCCAGTTCCAACCAGAGGAGCCTGAGGAGTCAGAACCAAACAGAGGCCAAGACCCCCTGACTGACCAGAAGCAGGCAGACTCGGTAGTTGGGGCATGGGCATGGGTACACATGGTGGGGAAGGGAAGGGGAAGCAGGTTGGAGATGGGCTTCATTCCTCAGAAGAGCCCTGGAATCATCCAGACCAAAGTTGGCTTTCCCATGGGGTCATCTGTGTGCATGGTGGGGCCTTGAGGAGCTCTGCAGGAGCCACCTTCTGGCTTGGGGACCTGGGTAGGTGGGTGGTCCTGGGGTCAGAACCCTAGGCTGTGCTTCTCATTTGCTGGGCCTGAAAAGGTCAATGTCTTTCCCTGGGCAAATGACGGTTTGGCCCCAGTGGTCTCTGAGGGAAGAGATCCTTCCGGTTTGAGACGGCCAAGCCAGGTCGAAAGAGCAGGGCTTCTAGGAGCATGAGTCAGAGAGCTGAGGATGTGCCCACAGTCAGCCGGGCCTGGAGGGTCTCCAGGGTCCTGGAGGCGGGAGAGATATGTGCGGGGGTGGGACCCACAGATGCTGCTCTGAGGCCTGGCTGCAGCTGGTGAACACAGCTCTGCCTGCCCCTCCCCGTGACCTGCCAAACAGACTGTTCTCGTCACCCTCAGCCTCCAGAGAGGTGAGATCAGAGTTGAGGGCCATGGGGCAGCAGGAGGTGGGGGAGGAGGAGACAGACTGTTTGGGGCTGTGTTTTCTGGTCCTGCTCTTCCCCCTGCTGCCTCCTGAAGAGCCAGGTGTGGCAGGGAGTATCTGGCGGGCAGTCTGGAGCCCCCAAATTGGGCCCTGCCGTGAGTCAAAGCCGGGGGAATTTTGCTCAAACCCTCACTGTGCAGATGAGGAAATGGAGGCAGGGGAGTCGTCCCAGGCTACACAGTCAGTGGCTAGCTGTACTGGGACTAGAACCCAGCCCAGGAACCACCCAGCGCTCTCTCTGCACCTCCACCTGCCCCCACCCAGGCTGCCCCCGTCCCTGCCCTGATTTCTTGCGTGGCTTTGAACGGCAGTGCTGTAATTTTGAGGGGTCCAGTATTCCCATCTGTGGAATGGGAGGGGACAGGGGATGCTGGTCGCTAAAGGTGCTGCCAGCCCTCCCAGGGGCTCCGACAACTTTGCTCTTCCTCTTTCTGGGCTATTTCTTCATACTTCCTGGAGCCAGAGTAGTGAACGGGGAGCAATGCAGGGGTGCCCCTCTAGTCTCCATGAAACGGGCCTGGCACATCAACGTGGAAAATATCTCAACCTACCCCCATCCCTAGGCAGCCTTGACTGGTCAGAACTGATAACCACCTCATTCATGCATCATTCACACGCACTCAGTGAGCACCTTCTGTATACCCGGGTGTGGGTCACAGGTGAGTTGGAGCACCATCAAGGAGTTCAGTCAAGTGAGACAGTTGCATGCCTGTGGTCAGGGCTGTGATGGGAGATGTGGTAGCAGAGTCGGGGGCACCCCCACCCCCAAAGCCCTCTTGGACCTGTGCTTTGATGCTTCAAGTTCCGCTTCCAGACAGTGTGCAGATTCCAGAGCAAGGACACCTGGGCCCTCTCCTACCTTCCCAGTAACCTGCTATGTGTGACTTTGACAAGTGCCTCTGCTTCACTGGGGCCTTGGTTTCCCCAAGAGGATGACTCCAAAGAGGGAGCATTTAGGGGCTCTGCTGGGCATGTCTGTAGAAGTCCACAACTCATTCCTTTTGCTTAAGCTGGGGTCACAAACCTAACGCCCTGAAGGCCAGGCAGGTAACAACAGTGAGAAGTGGGGAGACCGAGGGCACTCGTGTGACTCCTCGGTTCCAGATAGCTGTTGCCATGGGGAAGACGGGCCCAGAGTTTCCACATCTTTCGATATTTCAAGAAACACTGGAGATATGTATTTATATGTGAGATCTCTAACCTAACGTGAAATACTCTGAAAAGGCTCTGTGGGTGGAAACACACCTGTGGTCTGTACCCCTCCAGCTGGCGCCCGTGGTTTGACTTTAGGGCAATGACACGCACACCTTCAAGGGTGCTGAGCCCTGGGAGCCGCTCAGTCAAACACGACGTAGTGAGAACAAGTTAACCGGCTCTTGTCTCGGCAGTTCTGGGAGGAGAGAAAGATGGGAACCCTGGGGCTCCGTGGAGGGGGGCACCACAAAATGGGCAGGGGAGGCTGTAGCCAGGGGTGCCTCCATCCCACCAAAGGGACCTGGGGCCAACACTGGACCCTGTTTGACAGGCAGACAAGAGGCCAGCAGAGGGCAAGGCTGGGAGCCCGCTCAAGGGCCGACTGGTGACCTCATGGCGGATGCCCGGGGACCGGCCCACGCTGTTCAATCCGTTCCTGCTGTCTCTGGGGGTCCTCAGGTGGCAAAGGGTAGGCTGGCTCCAGTGGGGGCTGGAGGGGTGAGGGTGGACAGACATGGGGAGGGGAGGGAGGAGGGGGTTGTTAAGCAAAGGAGAGAGAGTGGGGGCTGAGGAGGAGGCAGCTGGGGCCCTCGCATGACAGGAGAGGTGGGAGCAGAGCTCTTAAACTCACCCTGGTCTCAGCAAGCGAGTGGATTTTCCACTTCCGGGGCAGGCTTGGGGGCTGCTTTCAGCTTTTGGAGTGAGGGGTGATGGAATAATCTACACAGCTGAAAGCTTCCAGTCAGCAACCGCCTCTCGCCAGCCCTGGGCCAAGGGGGAGCCACGTATGGGGGAAGGGAGAGCGGGCTTACAAGTGGCTCTGGGATTGCAAAGTGTGTCTCAGACCTGGGCCTGAGCCAGTTTCACAAACATCTGGCGTTACGTAACCCATCCCCTGCCCAGAGAGGTCTGGAAACACTCAAGCCTCTGGCTAGGTTTTCCATAAGGGCAGGGAGCTGAGACCCGCTCCCTCCCACCCCCTTCACAGCAGGACAGAAGGGGCCTGGCCATCTCCAGCAGCCACAGGCTGGCTCGTGGGGTCTCTTCTCTTGGTGAGAGGCTGACGCTCTTACTCACCGCTGTTGGCGCTGCGTCCAGCACTAGGCTGGGCACTTCAGAGACGGTGTGCCCATTTTACAGATGAAGGGACTGAGGCCCAGGGAGGTGAGCTGATTTGCCTGAGGTCGCACAGCTTGGGGTATAAAGGAGCTGATTTTCCTCATTCTCAGATGAGAGAAGGGTTGCAGCCAAATTCACTGAGCCTTGGTTGCCACATCTGTCTATTAGGAAAAAGTCTGTGGAGACTTAAGGCTGCAGAGAGGGCTCAGGGAGATCAGGATGCACGGAGGTTGCCGGGCTGCTGTTAAAACACGAACTTTCCCATCCATTTCAGAATTTCCTTTTTTTTTTTTTTTTTTTTAATTAAGAGGGAGTCTAGCTTGATCGCCCAGGCTGGAGTGCAGTGGCGCCATCTCAACTCACTGCAACCTCTGCCTCCCAGGTTCAAGTGATTCTCCTGCCTCAGCCTCCAGAGCGGCTGGAATTATAGGTGCGCGCCACTGCACCCAGCTAATTTTTTGTATTTTTAGTACAGACGGGGTTTCACCATGTCGGCCAGGCCGGTCTTGAACTCCCGACCTCACGTAATCTGCCCACCTCAACCTCCCAAAGTGCTAGGATTATTGATGTGAGCCACCACGCCAGGTCTTTTTTTTTTTAAATTAAGATGGAATCTGGTTCTATCTCCCAGACTGGAGTGCAGTGGCACCATCTCGGCTCACTGCAACCTCCACCTCCCGGGTTCAAGCGATTCTCCCATCTCAGCCTCCTGAGTATGTGGTATTACAGGTGTGTGCCACCACACCTGGCTAATTTTTGTATTTTTAGTAGAGACAGGGTTTCACCACGTTAGCCAGGCTAGTTTCTAACTCCTGACTTCAAGTGATCCGCCCACCCTGGCCTCCCAAAGTGCTGGGATTACAGGCATGAGTCACCCCACCGAGCCCAGAATTTCCTTTCGCTGCTCTTTGGGTGAGCAGGCAAGCATGGTTATCTGAGTAGTGTGTTGCCTCTAAGCCATGGGCAGGAATTACCTTGTCAAACTAACTAAAGGTCACCAACACTCAGCACGTCTGGCAGGAGGGGGCAGGTAAGTCCTTGGTAGAGCGAAGGAGGAGCGAAGTGGGGAAAGCAGTCTGGGGTAACGATGCTGGTGATATTAACCAGCACTTATTGTGCGCCTACTACATGCCCAGCTCTGTGTTCACTGCGTGGCTCACCTAATTGCGTTTCATCCGCACTCCCAGGCACAGTTAGACTCGTACTGTCCATTTTACAGATGACGAAGTGACGCTCAGAGAGGGAGGGTCACTTGCTCCAGGTCACACAGGGAGCAAAGGGCAGAACAGAACTGAGATTCAAATCCTGCTCTGGCTGACCTCAGAGCCCAGTGCTTCTAACATGCCCCCTAAACCACTGCCTTCACATCCTGATCTCTCTGAGCCCTCCTGCGGCTCTGGGAGTCCCCATAGATTTTCGCCATTAGAAAGATGCGGCAACTGAGGCTTGGTGAGTTTGGCTACAGTGGTTCTCTCATGTGGGAGTGAGGGAAACGAGGAGCAAGGGATGGAACTGCCAGTGGGGCCTCCCAGTTACACAGAGCAGATTTACACTTCTCTTGGGCTGAAGCAGTGAAATTAGCCCAAGGCCGAGAGCCAGAAAGCCTGGCGTCGATTCTGGCTTGGCCCCTAACTTGTGTGCCCTGCTCTGAGCCTTACCTCATTATTCTCAGTAGAGTAACAGTTTGAGACCGGATGAACTCAAAGTTCGGTAGCTCTGGTCTTTGCCAGTTTAATAACTCACTCCTGGGTCCCTGAGGCTGTGCCGTCTCTGACCTGCCAGGATGAGTTGTGGTTCCTTCATCAGTGTATTCATTCATTCGACCCGTGCTTATGGAGGATGTACTGTGGGCCTAGGCCCTACGCTGGCTTCCAAGATGTAGACAAAAAACATTCCAGCCCTGGCCACTGGAGCACAATTAGGTGAGGACACTGACATGTAACTGATGAGAACAGTGTGGTCATCACTTTAGTGGGGAAATGTACGGATGTAGGGAGCACTGGGCCAGCAGTTCCTAAGTCTGCTGGGGACACTTTGGCTTCCTTTGGCCTGAGACTTGAAGGAAGAAATTTTCCAGGCCAACAAGCATTGGGAGGGGGAACGACGGATGGGGAAGGGGAGAAATAAAGAGAGAGAGAATCAGTGTGTGTGTGTTGGGGTATAGAAGACAGGAAGAGAAGTGTTCCAGGCACAGCAGAGAACATTTGCAGTCAGGGGGTAGAAGGACCTGTCTTATTCTGGGAATAAGGGAGGGGGAAGGGGAGAAATAAAGAGAGAGAGCGAGAGAGAGAGAGAGAGAGAGAGTGTGTGTGTGTGTGTGTGTGTTGGGGTATAGAAGACAGGAAGAGAAGTGTTCCAGGCACAGCAGAGAACATTTGCAGTCAGGGGGCAGAAGGACCTGTCTTATTCTGGGAATTCCTAAATTCCTAGCAGTCTAGTGTTGTGTATCTTTTTTTTTTTTCTGAGATGGAGTCTCGCTCTGTCGCCTAGGCTGGAGAGCAGTGGCGTGATCTCCCCTCACTGCAACCTCCGCCTCCCAGGTTCCAGCGATTCTCCTGCCTCAGCCTCCGGAGTAGCTGGGATCACAGCCACATGCCACCACGCCCAGCTAATTTTTTGTATTTTTACTAGAGATGGGGTTTCACCATGCTGGCCAGACTAGTCGAACTCCTAACCTCAGGTGATCCACCCTCCTCGGCCTCCCAAAGTGCTGAGACTACAGGCATAAGCCACAGTGCCTGGCCTCCAGTGTTGTGTATCTCTTTGGTTATTTATTGTATTTTGCAAAATTGACCAAAGTATGTGTCTCTCCAGCCTGTCAAATGTGAATCTGGAAGGCCAGGATGACAGGCAGGAGTCAGGTTGTGATGGTTCCTGTCTGCCTAGAACAGGAATGTAGCACTGATCTGTCAGCATTGGTGATGTGTGGAAGAACTTTGAGCAGGGAAGTGGTCTGGTCACTGTGTTGAGGGTATTGGGGGGAGTCACAGCGGCCAGAAAAGCCTGGAGGAGGCTGGTGCTGTTAGGTGCTCAGGGCACTGGGCCAGGACCCTGGTGGTAGGTGAGGTCTCCTGCATGTTCATTCATTCTCCCAAGGACTGACTGCCTGAGTGAGGTGCAAGGGTAGGGGAGGAAAACTCAGCCCGGGGTGCTAGAAGGCCAGTTTCTAGAGTTAGATGGACTTACCCTTGGCCTCATTCCTCATGGTGGAGAGACTCCTGGCAGCAAATGCTGGGAAAGAACTTCAGCTCCCTGGGCCTCCATTTCTTTATCTGCAAAATGGGAATAGTAATTATAAAAGCAATAACTTTTTTTTTTTTTTTGAGACGGAGTCTCACTCTGTCTCCCAAGGTGGAGTGCAGTGGCACAATCTCTGCCCACTGCAACCTCCGCCTCCTGGGTTCAAGCGATTCTCCTGCCTCAGCCTCTCACACAGCTGCATTACAGGCACCTGACACCACATCCGGCTAATTTTTGTATTTTTAGTAGAGATGGGGTTTCACCATGTTGGCCAGGCTGCTCTTGAACTCCTGATCTCAAGTGATCCACTCACCTTAGCCTCTCAAAGTGTTGGGATTACAGGTGTGAACCACCCCGCCCGACAAGAGCAATAATTTTTGAACCCCAAATCGAGATGGCAGAAAAACTGAAATGGCAATTATTCCAAGCTTCCCTGCCTAAGGATAGCTAATGAGGGATAAAGAGGTTGTCCTAGGTGCCTTACTTGAATTAACACTTAATCCTTCCAGCAACCTCATGAGGTAACAGCATTACCCCATTTTACAGAGTGAAATTGGGCACCGAGAGGTACCTGCTTAAGATAACACTAGGTTGTAATCCCCGTGCCACACGAGCTTCCTAGTGCATTGAGCAACCAATTCCACCACGGTCCCTCCCCACCTGCAGGAAAAGAGCATCTAACAAACGGCCCAGGGTCCTGGGAACCTGAGCGACGGGTGCTCGCCCACACCTGAAAAACCCAAAACCAAAAAAGGCCCATTTGTGAGGAGTGGGTATTGGGAAAGACCCTGCCATCCAAGAACTCACTTTGTGTCCAGCTTACTCGCTAGGAATTCCGCCTCTTCCTGTGCGACCTCGGGCAAATCGGCTCACCCCTCTGAGCCTCCGTTTTCTCATTAGCAAAATGAGACCTCCCTCCCAAGTCTGTGGTGAGGACGAAAATCGACTCTTGGCGAGTGGGACCCGCTGAGTAGTTAGTACAGGGTGCTTTGCCCCGAGCCCCGCCAAATCTAGGCGCCAAGCTCTAGCGGACCCATCGCTCCGAGGCCGGGGCGGGAAGCGCAGCCTGGGCGAGGCGTGCCACGCCCGGCCGCCCGCATCCTCCGCCCCCGCGCCATGGCCGGACGGAGTCACCTGCACGCTGGGCCCTTCCTTCCTCCCAGCGCGCCCGCGGCCCTGGCCCGCCCGCGGCCCTGGCCCGCCCGCCCTCCGGCCGCCACCGCCCTCCCCTCCCTGCGGCCCCATCCGCCCGCCCCGCGGTCCCGCCGCCCTAGCGCGCCCGTCCCGTCGCGGCAGGTTCCGCCCCCGGCCCGGCCCGCGCTCCCATTGGCCCGCCGCGGCCCCCGCCGCTGTTTGTCTTGGCTTCCCCGCCACCCATTGGACCGCTCGGGTCCTCCCAGGAAGTTTGAAAAAAAAAAAAAAGTTTTATGGGCGGATGGAAGGGGCCGGGACCGCGCCGGGGAAGGGAAGGGCCGGAGGCGCGGCGGCAGGCGGCCGAGAGGGGCGGCGGCGGCGGGGTCCCCGCGCCGCGGAGCCCGGCCCGAGAGCCGCGTCCACCTTCCTGCCTCCTGCTCCCGCCGCCCTGGGGCGCCGCCATGACGGTGAGTGCCCCCGTCAGCCGCCCGCGCCCCAGGCCGGGAGGAGGGCGACGACCCCAGGTAGAGCCCAGCCTCTCCCCTCCGGGGCAGCCCCCTCCTCATTTCCCGGAGGCTAGAGGAGGGCTGGGCCGGAAGATGGGGCCACCTCTGATGCGCCGGTCGGCCAGACCGGCCTCACCCTTCCCGTAGGCTCCTCCTCGCCTTCCCTCGCCCACTCAACCCCAGAAGCCCAGGCGACCCCGAGGGGACGGAACGACCCGTCCTGGGCGCCCCCTCCTCACAGTTGCGGCACCAGTAAAGGGTGGATTCGGGGCGACCCTTTCCCACCTCTCCTCCAGCCCCCTAGGCAAAGACCCGATACCCCAAGGCGGCCAGGGGCCCCAGGGAGGAGCGGAGGTGGGCCTGAGCTCGGGAGGGGCGCTCCTGGGCGCGGATGGGTCGCGCTGACCCGGGCCTTGGCAGGCCGGCCCCCCGTGTGGCCGCTGGCCCGAGCTCGGGTGGGCTAGAAGGGTCCAGACCGCCCCACCCACAGCCCGGCAGCCAGTCCCGGGACCTCTGAAGCGGCGGGGTACCACGTCCTCCCGGGCTTGCACTTTGCAGCGGTCCTGGGCCTTGGGACAAGCCTGCTAGTCTGGGTAGGGGGCACGATGGCAGGGGTTTGCGTTTGTCATGGGGGTGAGCTGTACTCAAGCCCCATCAATTACCTGTGCCGTAGTTAGCATATTGAGTCTCACAGCTGGGTTCACTGGACTCCCCACTTCACAGCCGGATAAACTGAGGCTTGGGGAGGGGCGCTGGTGAGTTGCCCGAGGTCACCCCAAGTATAAGGGAAGGAGTAGCTCCTTTCCCGGTCCTTCTGGCCCACTGACCGTGCTGTTCGGGAAGGGAGGGGTGGGGCTGCTTTTGGTTTCTGGCTAATGCTTCAGGGAGCCTCTGACAGCCCAGTGGCCCTCCTGGGGGAGGATGAGCAGGGTGTGTGTGTGCGCACGGGCGCCAGTAGTCCTCTTTCAGGGGAGTGGAGACCCTTTGGAGGAGTGGGCTGGGCTGCTGGGGGGCGTGGCACGCCTAGCCCCTGCCCTGTGAGTGTGATAGCCAGACCGCCTTGCCTGGACTTCCTCGCCCTCCTCCTGGACATCCTGCCACCTCCCTGCTGGCCCTTCCTGTCGTCAGCAGCCTCCCCTTCCCTGTCAGGAGCAGAAGGGATGTGGGGGGAGGAGCTGAGTCAGTGTCCTGGGGCCAGGAGGAGAGTGGTTGCTGTGCCCAAGTGCCCACCACCTGCCTGCCTGGCCCTTAGCCGTGTGCTTTCACGTTACCAGATCTGAGCCTTGAAGGTTGGTAGTAACATCTTCATCAAACAGATGAGGAAACCAAGGTGTGGTGAGGTGAAGTGTCATGCCCCAGGTAGCTTAGTGAGTCCCAGGCTGAGCCAGAATTTGTGTCCAGGTCCGTTCCAGCTTTCTTTCACAGTTGCCTGTCCTGGGGGCAGCACGTTCTGAGCAAGGGTAAGGCTGTCAGAAGCAGTGTGTGAGGTGCTTGGAGGACGGACAGCACGTCCCTGCTGGTGGCAGGAGCCTTCCCGAGGGAGGTGTCCTCCTGTGATTATAAGGTTTCGTCAGGTGGAGATGGACTAGCGAGGAGACAGCAGTGTGGACAGAAGCGGGTGGTTGTGTTTGAGAAGTAGCAAGAGCTTAGGATCGCCCTGGGCAGTCTCTGTCTCAGGTGGAAGACAGGGTGGGAGGAGGGCCTCACTGCTAGGGCTTGGTCAGGGGCAATAGGGAGCCATGAAAGGTTTTAGAGCAGAGAGGAGGCTATGATCACCATTAATAGTGTTCAGTGAGTTCATCCTGGCTGCCATGCAGACCTCAGCCTGCTCTCAGCTGGTGCTCCTCCTGTATCCGCCTCACACCCTCCTCCCCTGGCCCCGGTGCCCTGAGTCAGGGATTCATACAGGGCAAGTGGCACAGGTGTGTGACTGTGTGAGGCTCCAGGGCTTCAGGGAGTCGGGATCCTCTTCCACCCCTCTTGCCTTTGCCTGGGTGCAGCTTTACTCCTGGAGCAGCCTTCCCCCTCGCCTGCTGGGCATCAAATTAGATTTGGTCCCTTGTTTACTGTCTGTTTCCTGCAGTCCACCAGGGCAGGGGCCACAGCTCTTGGTCACAGCTAATTTCCTGGCCTAGAACAGTGCCTGATGCTTTAAAACAAAAAAAAAAAATTCTGCAGACACACCCTGAGCCCCATCTGTGCTGGGTCCTGGCAGGTAAACAGTGTGTGGCCCTGACTGAGTTGCATCTAGTCTAGCCTGTGAAGGATAAGTAAAGGGCCTCAAAATAGTCACGGATGCAACAGAGGCCTCCGAGAGGGGCCTTGGGAGGGCAGACTGGGGCCACTGGTGGTACGGTGAGTGGCATGGACTGTGAAGGGACCTCAGAGGTGGCCATTAAACTGAGTCTTAAGGTCTGAGTAGGGGCTTGCCTGGTCATCAGAGGAGGAGGAAGTCTAGTATTTCAGGCCAAGGACACGGCACGTGTGAGGGCCCGCAGTCCTGGTGTGTTGTGATCGGCAAGGACTATGCAGTGGTATAAACACAGGCCCCTCAGCAAGGGGAGGCTAGGCTGGAAGAGTGTGATGAGGCTTCCCTGCCGTCCTGAGGCAGCTGGACTTTGTTTTAAAGCCACTTGGAGACCAGGTGTGGTGGCTCATGTGTGCCTGTAATCCCAGCATTTTGGAAGACCGAGGAGGGGGGATGGATCACTTGAGGTCAGGAGTTCAAGAGCAGCCTGGCCAGCATGGTGAAAACCCGTCTCTACTAAAAATACAGAAATTCGCTGGGCATGGTGGCGGGCGCTTGTAATCTCAGGTATTTGGGAGGCTGAGGCAGGAGGAATGCTTGAATCCAGGAGGTGGAGGTTTCAGTAAGCCGAGATGGTGCCATTGCACTCCAGTCTGGGCAGCAGAGACTCTGTCTCAAAATAAATAAATAAAGCCACCTGGAGCCGTCCCTGGAACTGTTAAGCAAGCCTGGGATACCAAGCCTTTTTGAGTGAGTCTCACCAGCCCGAGGGTGCATAGAGGGGCTGTGTCCCTGGCTAGGTAGGAGGTGGGGCCGTGAGAACCTGTCAGTGCTTCCGAAAGGCAGAAGGAGAAACTGAGCTTCTAGCAGGTGAAGAAGAGGTAGCTGGGACTGAAGAGCCCTGTACGAAGGGGCATCGTGTGAGATTTAGATGATCGGACCTTTTGAACCTGGGGACAGGTTTCCCTGCCAGTTTAAAAACACATTGGTTGGCGGGGCACATTGGCTCACACCTGTAATCCCAGCATTTTTGGAGGCCTAGGTGGGCAGATCACTTGAGCCCAGGAGTTTGAGACCAACCTGGGAAACATAGGGAGACCCCATCTCTACAAAAAAACAAAAAAACAAAAAAAAAAACAAATACAATTAGCTGAGTGTGGTGGAGTGCCTATGTCGTCCCAGCTACTTGGAAGCTGAGGTGGAAGGATCGCTTGAGTCGGGGAGGTTGAGTCAGCAGTGAGCTGTGATCACACCGCCACACTCCAGTCTGGGCAGCAGAGCAGGGCCCTGTCTCAACAAAACTCAAATTGGTGACCTTCTATCCCCAAGGTCACTGTGTCATGGCGTGCCTGACATGGTATGTGGTGTGTCTGTACTGGGCTCTGGAGGATCACCAGGCTTCTCCTTGTACAGACACGTTCAGTCCTGTCGGAAGCTGCGGGAGGGGAGGACTGCCTCATCATTTGCCACATCAGGCAGCCAGGACTCAGAGAGGGGGATGTGACTTAGGAAGGTCACAGCGACTCCACTTCCCAGGCAGCCCTAGAGGTTTCAGCCTGACAGCCTGTCATTCCTGCCCTGATCTCCCAGCCCTAGCCCAGGGACTTTCGCCTGGGGCTGCCCAGTGGTGCCAGCTCTGTGGGCCCAGGAAGCCTAGCTCCTACGGGCTAGGTGGGGGTTGGGGAGATGGCCTAAAAAGCACAGAAATTTAGACCAGGGGGTAGATATTTCCTCAGCAAGTTTTTCCTGAGCCTTGCTGTGGTCAAGCCCCCTGCAAGGCCCTGGGGCCACAGGAGGTCTGAGACTGAGGGGAAGTGGAACCAGGTGTGGTCACCAATCTTCGTTCTTAGCTTAGGATCGCCCTGGGCAGCCTCTGTCTCAGGTGGAAGATGGGGTGGGCAGAATACAGAGCAGCGGGACAAATGCAGCCCCAGGGGTTCTCGGCTCTGAGCAGAGCCTCTGTCTCTCCCTTACACAGGTATGCAGGGCGGAGCTGGGATGCCAACCTACTGCGTCTGCCGACTGTAGCTGTGGGGGGTTCTGGATCCTCAGCTGCCCCAAGCCCCCCTTGGTCCACTTCCTGTACCTGAGAAGGGGCTCCATGAGAGGAGGGTGGGTCAGGAGAGGTGGCCAGGCAAGGTGGCTCTGGTTTCCAGCTGCCACTGTCACCGCCCACCCCACTGAGCCATGCCACCCTCTCTCTGCACGCAACCAGACACCTTGGCCTGGTGAGGCCTCGATGTAGGGGCTGATAGGTAGGCTCAGAGCCATGGCAACAGGT